TTAGATTTTTACTTTTACATTGTTAAGGTTTCAAAAATTTGCATTCTGTCCTATAGTAGGACAATGATTAATGCATAATTCCACAATTATGGAATATTAGTTCTGCATATAAATGGATTCAGTGATCAGGATAGTTCCTTCCATCTCCAAGGTCTTGATTTCAGTTTATCTTTTTGTTGGCTAGCCTTTATTGTTCAGTGGTAATTTCAACTTTCTGCTTTTAGACTTGAAGGACAAGTTGGACAAATGGAACGTTCTCAGAGCAAACTGCCTTTTCCTCAAAACTTTAGAAAACTTTCCCCACTGGCATCCAGCATTGAGAACTGATTATGAGAAGTCTAAGGCCAGCATGACTTCTCCCAGGAAGATATTCTTCTCTTGATTGTTCTCTTTTCTAGAAAACCCATTATATATGTGCTTCATCTTTGCTGCTTCCCAGACTGTCATCTGCTCTCCAATCTTGTCCTCTCTCCCATTTTATATTGTGTGACTTCTTCAGGCCTTTACACTGTGTCCTCACATCATCACTATGTATGTGTTCACCTTGGTCACACTGACCTGAATTGCTCTCACTGTGGCTTTCATCTCAGCAATATTTTTATTTTTTCTTTCCATTTTTTTCTGAGCTCTGCTACCTTTCTTTCATTTCCTTCTGCTTTCTAATCATCCTTTTTTTTGAGCTCTACATTTCTTCTTCAAATTTTATTTTGAAAAATCATGTTTAGTGAAACTTCTTTGAGGTTTTTTAGGGTGTTGTTTTTTGTTTTTGTCTAGAGTCTCCCTGTATTAATACCCTGTAGGTATTAATCATTCCCTTTATGATGTGCTTTTCTTCTGTTTGCTCCCATTCCTTTCCTCCTCTTATTATTTTTGTAATTGGTGCTGTTTCTATGTTACGAATAGGACTCATGTTGGGCTGTGAATGCCCTGGCTTTTGCCAACATGTCCACATCATTTCCCTGGGTCTCCACAGTGACATTCCACGTCTCCAGTGCTCTGTGTCCTTAATTTTCCTTGATCTAACAAGATCTTCCAGACTGACCCTGGATTTGGGAGCAGTCTGATTCATCCTCCACTTCTAAGAAGGCATTGCTGGCCCCGTTTGCTCCCTACCCCTGTGCAGACATAGCAGTGTTTGACTAGAGAGCTTCCTAATTTGTGGCCTGGGGATGTAGCTGTTTTTCTCTTTGAAGCCAGGCTAGCCTATCATTTTTCTGTGAAACTAGGTGAGAGGTGGGGGAACCCAATGTTTGGAAGAATTTCCTTTCTTAGGTCAGTATCTACCACAGGCAGCTAAGACTCAGGCAGGAGCACAAAGCACGTGGCTCCACCAGCTCCCTGACTCTGGACTGGGGAGGAGCCCGGGCTGGAAAGGCCTAGCCTATCCAAGCTGAGAGCTGCTCTGTGGGGAAGAATATGGGTGGAGACGACTGTCTGCCTGCCCTGCCCTCTGCCAGCCATCATACTTGTGAGATCACACACAATGTGTCTGTTAACGTCACACTGGGTCACTGGGAGATGTGTCATGGCCAGGAGGCAGCCCTCAGCTGGCTGCCTCACAGGGACCCCAGGAGGGAGCTAAAGACAAGCACAGAAGGAGATGTCAGCTCTCTCAACACGGCTCGATGTGGAGAATGGGCTCTAGCCCTTTGATGAGCAAGTTGAGACTCTTGGGAAGTCCCAAGTCTGAGCAGTTCCTTAAACTGGGACCCAGGGCATTAGGTGGCAGAGTTTCTCAGCCACCCAGAAAGAAGTTAAAGAAAAAGTGGCCCAAAGTAACTGCTGAAAGGCAAAGACAGACTGCAAGTTGCCCAGGAAAACAGAGTGGAGCAAGATGCAACAAAGAGCCAGCAAGCCAGTGGTCAACCCAAACCTGGGACCCTAAAGAGCAGGGGATTCTGGGAAAACTAGTTGCAGTTCAGCCCAGGGGACACAGTACACTTGACAAGTGCTGTCTCCCCACTGTAGATGCCTCAATGTTTCCTCCACCCCTCCCCATTGCCCCTCTATACACACCTGCAAACATCAGCCTTCTGCCTCAGAAGCATACGTGTGCATGTATGCTAATCTAAACCCAAGGCCCCCCTCCCCAGCCCTGAGGGCACCTGTCTCCATGGGCCCCAGAGGGCAGGACTGAGTGAGGGGAATCACTGCAGGGGAATTGCTGGGGTCTGGCCTCTTGGGGACCCAGAGGAGAAGCATCGCCCTGCAGCCATGGCAAGATTCTCAGGCGGCCCAAGATGGCAGAATGCACCAGATGTTAAGATTGGCAGCTTACGTGAAGATGATGGACACGGTCTCCAGCCTGAAGCCTTCAGAAAGCCAGGGCTTTGGGGCCTGCCAGCCAGCCACTGGGACATAGGCTCACAAGCTCCCTCCACGCCACCCTGAGCCCAAATTCCTGCTCACCCGGAAGTCGCTGGCTCCCTGCAGGACCTGGCTGCTGGCAGAGCCCCTGGAGCCCTGCTCTGGTGAACTTGTCCTCCAAAGCCCAGCGTGGCTACTAGGATGTGTCCACAGAGCAAGACTCAGGCCCCCACACCAAGGCCCCTGTGGAGGAACTGCTCAAGGCCAGTTCCTCAGTGCCCCCAAAGGGTCAGGTACCAAGTTGCATCCCCCCAAGCATCCACTCTTATAGCTGAGTCTCAGGGGCTATTGGCTGAATACAGTCTCCCCCTCTGCACACGGACTGGGCTGGGACCGAGATGGGCCAGTGGACTGCAGGGGGCACCAGCAGGATCTCCCCAGGGGCTTAGGGAGGGTATCCACATGGTGAGCTGCCACCCCTTGGCAGCAGAGCCTTGGACATGGCCCTGCCCACTAGAAAGGGTGTGTCAGGGAGTGGAGGGCATGCCACCCCACAGGCCTCCACCAGCTGCCCCAGATCCTGGCAGGGCCAGAAGGTGCTATGCCAATGTGGGTTTGGACTGCAGGACAGATGGACGGCGGAGGGAGACAGAGAGGGAAATGTGAAAGGCGATGTCAAGGTCTGTAGAGATGTCTCCAGCCACCCCATTTGAGACTTGAGTAAAGTACCCGAAGCTTTGGGGAATGGGGACAGGGTGGCACACTGGGGACAGGGGCTTCCCCTGCAGCCGGTCTGCTTGGCACCCTCAGTTGGCTGGAGTCAGCTGACATCTTCCTCCAGTTCATGGGGAAGATGGAAGCCAGTGGAAGTCTCAGGCTCCACTCAGCAAAGGTGATGTGGCCTGAGAGATAAGCCCTTCCATGTCCACACTCACTCACACATATATGTAGCCACACACACACTCACACACGCTCAAACATGTTCACATCAACCCTACACACTCACATTACACAATCATGAATACTCACACTACACAATCACACACACAAGAACTCCACACACATACACTCCACAGTCGCATACAACCACATATGCACCACACAAATGCACACACATACTGAAGCTTTGCCTGGAGATTCCCAATCCCAGGGCTTCCCCAGGGGCTCACAGGCTCCTCGCCACTGGCAATCAGCCCTCCCAGCCAGCAGGAGGCACCAGCTGAACGTGCATGTATGTGTGCCCTGCCACTAACCACAGACTGGGCTCTGCTCTTGCCATCAGCCTGGCTCCCCCTCAGACTTCAGTTCCAAGAGATAAGAGGTGAAGACCCACCCTCTGTACCTCTGCCTGGTTTGCCCTAGACTTGCCCTTGGGGCATGAGCCCCAGCTTTCCAACTCCCAGCCACCCGGCAGGCGCCTGCTGAGGCCTGGGGTCCTTTCAGCGAGTGTCACTGAGTGGCCCTAGTACCACTGAGAGACTTTAGCCATCACATCTTATTGTGGCCAGTGGGAGCACAAAGGGAATTAGCCGAAGGATGCCCGGGGTCCCATCAGCATTCGGGGAGAGCTGTAGAGCCAGGCCCGGAGGCTTTGCAGAAAGGAACAAGGCTCTAAATCATGCTACAGTGCTGGACAGGCGAAGACACCCCTCTGGCCCCCTCCTTCCCACCACTTCCAAGGTGGTGCTAGTGGTAAAGAATCTGCCTGCCAATGCAGGAGGCACGAGAGATGCAGGTTTGGTCCCTGGGTCCGACAGCTTCCCAGTGCCCTTAGCATCAGGCCAGTTTCCCCCATCCCTGAACATTATCCCTTCAGAGAGCACCCCTGGCCCTCCCCCTCACATGACTGGGCCTCCACTCTTGCAGGTCTCAGTAGGCTGGTCCTGTCTTCTCTTTGAAAGCAAATGTGTGTGCAGGCTGAGGTGGTGTGGGTATGTTTGCACCTGCTCTCCCAGAAACCCTACGAGTGTTCAGGCCTGATTTTCCACTGCTAAGTGCTGTCACTGTTGTTCCACAGTGAGGTTGTCGCATTTTACAATCCCTCAGCTTAAAATACATTTGGTTTTTTCAAAACTCTATCAGACTAATACTAGCTTTCTCACCAAGGAGGCTAGAGACCTCTGGACATGCCAGTTCCTTGTTTTGGAGCCCCTCTCTGGATCCCACGTCTTGAGCAGCCCTGGGTCCCAGGCACTTGGATGCCAGGGGCACCTGCCCCCAGTGAAGAAGAAAATCAGGATCACCGCCATCCGTTTTCAAAAGACAGAGAACTATTCTGTCTCTATCAACTATAGCTGTGTTCAAAAGACACAACTATCCCAAAATGAGAACAAATATAACCTCAAAATGTTACGGTTCGCCTATCAAATGGAAGAAAAACCCTCACCATGTCTGGGTCTTCAAAGTACCTACTCTACCCTCTCATTGCCATGGGTACTGAGCAGGAACCTATTTTGTCCCCCCGCCCCCCCACCCTGCAGGAACCCCTCCCCTCCACTGTCCAGAGCAGAGACAAGACTCAACTGAAACATTCAGCAAATTTTATTGAAGCACAACACAGACTGAAACCATTGAAAACAGGGAATGACAACACAGGGACCTTCTGATGGCCGCTGGAGATCACAGTCCCAACCCCCCCTCCTCCCAGGGTCCCTAATGTGGTGCCCTCCCTCCCCCAATGCAGTGGCCCTCCCTCTCCCTTCCCAAGGGCCTCACAGTCGGTGTCTTGCCAGGACGGTGGGCGCTGGCAATGCCTGATCCCCCCAGGGCAGCCCCTCCCACTCAGGCCCACATGCCCTATGGCAGGCACAGGACAGTCACACAACAGGGCACGCTGCACCAAGCCGAGAACGCAGAGTCCCAAGGAAGCACGGTGTGGTCCAGCAGAGCACAGGTCCTGGGGGGCCTCCCGAAGACCCGCTGGGAAGCCCCAATGCAGATCTTCCTTCCCGAGGTCCCAGGGTGGTCGCCAGCCAAGCCTTCGTCCGTCCCCTCCTTCCCATCAGTTCCTGGGAGTGGGCTGGGGTATCTCTGCGCCACGGTGCGGGGAACTGCTCAGAGAAGAACACATGCACATCTCCAGGAGACCAAGCAGAACTTGGTCTGAATCCACATTGGGGAAGCACACGCTGAGCTGAGGACTGGGCCTTGGCTGGTGCTGAAGCTCAGGGAACGTGGCAGGACTCAGGGCTGGCTGACCAGGTAGGTGGGGATACCCGGCCTGGGTTCACAGGCACCTCGGGGCTCTTCAGGGGGTGGGAGGGGAGTTGATAACAGCTCAGGGATGTGTGTTGATGGGGAGGGGAGAGGGGCTGGACCAGAGAGCCGTTCCTTGAGATCTGGGTCACTAGGGGGCCTACAGGGACACATTTGGACTTCCCAGGACAGGGAGCAACCTGTCCCAGGGTATGCTGAATAGGGGTCCCCTCTTGGGGAGGTGGGGAGGCCCAGGCACCATGACATGGCCCCTAACGTGGGGCCAGGAGGCTGCCTGACCTGGCCTCTCCCTGCTTCCAGGCCAGGGGCCTGGGACCTGCTGAGCCTATTGACCAGAGGAGAACCCCGGGGGGCTCATCTCCACAGCCCCTTCCTCATCTCCGGGCTCCTCTGGGATGGGCTTGAGCCCCTTCTTGGGGGGCTCCTCGGCCTCCTGGTCTCCTGCCTGGGGGAGACCCTCTGGCTCCCAGCCAGGACTTCCTGGGACCACCGGGGAAGCCCTGCCCATCCTGGCAGTGGCAGGGCCCCAAAGGGCCTCTGAGGGTGCCGCCTGACCTAGGCCCGGGAGGCCGGGAGCCCTTCCATCTTCCTGAGTGGTCTCCCCAGGGGCAGAGGCTGCCCTGGTGGCACCACGGGCTTCAGCAGCAGCCTGGGCAACCTCAGTGCTGCTGCCAACTGCCTTACTGGCCTCTTCACGTGCTGGGAGGGCCTCGACGCCACCTTCCTTGGAAAGGGCAACCTGGGCAGAGATACCTCCACTGGCTGGGAAGGGCTCACTTCCACCTGCAGCTGCGCCCTCGGTGATGATCGTATAGGCCAGGGCAGCCGCCAGGTCTCCGAGGACCCCATGGGCCTCCTCCTCCACTGGGAACTGCTCACCCATTGCTGGGTCGGTCTCCCAGGCCTCGGTCTCCCGGATGAGCTGCAGCATCGCCACGAAGCTGGGGGCTCTTCTCTCCATCCGCATCCTCTTCAGCTTGTTCTGCATCAGGCTGTTGGGCCGGGCCCGCATGAGCACCTGCCGGGCACGCAGCTGATCTGCGATGGCTGGGTGCATGGCCCCCTTGCCCAGGGCCGACTGCAGCAGGCCTTCCAGGCGCATCACAAAGGCAAAGAGGCTCTCCTGGGGCCGCTGGGCACACGTCATGAACTTCAGCCGAGCGTTCACCCGGGGATCCTTGCTCCCGAACGCCTCCACCAGCGCCATCAGGCAATCCTGGGCTGCCAAGTTGGGATCTTCTGCCAGGAGGCTGCACAGGAGATCCAGCGCCGGACCCCCCAAGCTCTCCACCAGCCTCCTCCTCCGCTCCATCTCGGTCACGTGGCGCCACAGGTACAGCATATCGTTGGCATGATCCAGCCAGCTCTCAAAGGACTCTTCCCCTTCACCCGGCTCTTCCATTCCGGAGAAGGTTCTCAGCTCCTGGTAGCCCATATTCTCTAGCACAGGCTCCAAGGCCAGATGCCACTGTGGGGACTGGGCCCGTGGCTCATCCATGGCTCCAGCGATGCCTGAAGCTGCAGCCTCCATGGGAACTCCTGCCTCCCCAGCCGCTCCTGCCATGCTCAGAGATCCGGCCACACCTGCAACTCCCGTATCACCTGCCGCTCCCTCCTCATCAGATGTTCCTGCTTCATCTTCAGCTCTGGCCTCACCCTCAGCTCCTGCCTCACTGGCCGCCCCGGCCTCATCTGCAGTGCCTGCCTCACCTGTAGCTCCTGCTTCACTTGCAAGTCCTGCCTCAACGCCAGCTCCTGCCTCACCTGCAGCCCCTTCTTCATCTGCAGTGCCTGCCTCACCTGGAGCTCCTGACTCATCTACAGTCCCTTCCTCATCTGCAATGTCTGCTTCACCTATACCACCTGCCTCATCTGCAGCCCCTTCCTCATCTTCAGTGTCTGCCTCACCTGTACCATCTGCCTCACTGGTAGCTTCTGCCTCACAGGGAGCTCGTCCCTCGAAGCCAGCTCCTCCCTCCCCTGTTGCTCCTGCCTCCCCTGCTGCTCCTGACTCCCCTGCGGCTCCCTCCTCTTCTGTGGCTCCATCCTCACAGGTGGATCCATTCTCACTTGAGGCTCCTGCCTCACCTGTGTGTCCATTCTCACCTGCAGCTCCCTCCATACCTGCAGCTCCCTCCTCACCTGCATCTTCTATCTCACCTGTAGCTCCCTCCATACCTGCAGCTCCCTCCTCACCTGTGGGTCCATTCTCACTTGAGGTTCCCTCCTCGCTTGAGGTTCCCTCCTCACTTGAGGTGCCCTCCTCACTTGAGGTGCCCTCCTCACTTGAGGTGCCCTCCTCACCTGCTGCTCCTATCTTACCTGTTCCTCCAACATCACCTGTGGCTCCCTCCTCACCTGCTGCTCTCACCTCACCTGTTCCTCCAACATAACCTGCAGCTCCCTCCTCACCTGAGACTCCCACCTCACCTGTTCCTCCAACATCACCTGTGGCTCCCTCCTCACCTGCTGCTCTCACCTCACCTGTTCCTCCAACATCACCTGTGGCTCCCTCCTCACCTGTTCCTCCAATGTCTCCTGTGGCTCCCTCCTCACCTGCTGCTCCTACCTCACCTGTTCCTCCAACATCACCTGTGGCTTCCTCCTCACCTGAGACTCCCATCTCACCTATTCCTCCAACATCACCTGTGGCTCTTGCCTCACCTACCCTACCAACCACTGCTCGTCTCTGGGGCTGTGCAGGGAAATTGGGTCTATCCTGTGACTCAGCATCAGGGGCCTGGGGCAGGCAGACAACATACCAGGGCCCCCCTTTGCCTGGTATTTGTCGAGGGATCAAGCTTCGGCTTAAATACTCGGCAAACTCAACCAAAGCAATCTTCGACCCCAGCTCCTTTCTGAAGATCTTGCCCAGCACTCGGTATCTGCCCAGGGGGCCCAGGGCAGCCTGCACAGCATCCCTGAATTCTTGGTCTTCGCAGTCATCTGGGATGCCCAGGAGGAGCAGAGAGCGCTCCTCATTCACTCCCATCCACCTGCACCAGTCTCGCAGCAGCGCCAGTGGCATCACCATTTTTGAGGACCTGAGGGTGGGGAAAGTGATCAAAGGGGTGTACACAGGCCATTGAAGTGTGGGAATAGGCTTGTAGGTGCAAAGGGGAGAGAATAATGTTTGGGCCACACAGCCCACCCCACTGCCCCTCACAGCAGCAGCTTGGAGCACTGCCCCAACCTGTTTTGTTTGGTTGGTTTTAGGAAACTTTTCTGATAAATTAAATATATTTACAAAACAAACCAAAAAATTCTGTAAAACAATTATCCTTCCATTGAAAAATTTTTAATTAAAAATTTTTAATTAAAAAAATTTAAATATATACTTATGAAACAAAACATTTTCTACATTTCTGGCATCAGTTTTAGGAAGTTGCCTTTTTCCCAAGGAATTTTTCAAGTTTTTTAGCATAATTTTTTCTATCATAGCCCTATATTCTCTTTTTAATGTATATCTGACCTGTAGTGTTAGCCCTCTTTCATTCCTAATATTGGTGTTTAGCAATATTTGTATTTTTCCTTGATTCGTCTTTCTAGAGCTTTCTCAGTTTTGTTGCCCTTTTTTAAAAAAACAAACATATGGCTTGGTTTATCGTGTCCATAATTTGCTTTCTATCACCAACTTCCTCTCTTAGCCCAATTATTACTTCAGTCAACTCATTTTATGCTTCTTTCGCTCTTCTTCTTCTAGCATCTCTATAGGGGCTGTTAGGTCACTGATTTTATGCCCTTACTCTTTTCTAACATACACATTTAGAGCAATATACTTTCCTCCTATTGCTTCTTTGGCTGCCTCCCACTAACTTGGGTAAGTTGTGTTTTTTCATTATTCAGTTTGAAATATTTTCTAAATCCCTTTGTGATTTTTTTTCAATTCATGGGATTTCCCAGTATTTAAAGATATATTGTCATTATTAACATAAAATAAAATTCCCCTGTGGTGACAGAACTTATCATGTAAAATTGCAATACTTTTAAATTTAGGTGTGGTGCATCCTGGTGAATGTACAAAGCACCCTCGTGAAGAATCTGCATTTTTGTGTGGAGACCAGGGCCCTGGTCCCTCCCCCCACTGCAATTCCTGTGCCACTCAGGCAGAGGCGACCTGGAACCTCTCTGTTTCTAATACAGTGTGATCCACCCCTCCCCTCAGCCCCTTCCACCACAGGGGGCAGACATTAGCCCTTCCCTCATGTTCCCCTCATGTCTTGGCATGGGGGACCCCCTCTCACGTCCTCCCCACTCCCTCAGCCAGTAGTATTCTCTTCAGGCCTCCAAAGCAGGCCTCACCCACTCAGCAGGAAGCCCTTCCTTCTGAGACCCCCACAAGTTTAACCATTAGCCACCCCCTCTGCACCCCCAAACTAGAATACCCCCCCACCAGCCACCCTGGCAGCCAGCGGTCCTCCCCTCAGAACTCCTACACTGAGGAAACCCTTCCCTCAGCCCCTCTGAAGCCTGCCGCTGTCTGCGCCCTCACCCGGATTCCCAATCTAGTAGATGTTGGCCCTCCCCCCACCTCCACTCCTTGCTGGGTCAGCTAAGGGACCCCCACCCGAGACTCCTGGTAACTGCGGAGTCCAGACCCCAGCAAAGTCCCCGCCTGTCTACTTACTTTCTCCGACTCTGTAAACGACTCTCGAATCCCACTCAGAAGGGTCTGAAGAACTCGGCTCAGCAGCGCAGCCAGGAACCGTGCTGTGCACTGTCCCGAGCCCTCTGTGCGAATGCCACCTGGGTTTCCTCCGTGCTCCCAGAAGCCCCAGGAAGATGAGGGAGAAAGTTCTAGGCAGCTGTTTACAAGGAAAATGATTGGATGAGAAACGCACGAGAGGAGGCTCTTTGCTACTGTATCAACAAGCGGTGAGCACTAAGGACTTCATGTTCCAAGGCTTGGCGCCCGGGGAAGCAAAGATGGCTTCCCTGATGGCGCAGATGGTAAAAAAAATCTGCCCGCAATGTGGGAGACCTGAGTTCGATCCCTGGGCTGGGAAGACCCCCTGGAGAAGGACACGACTGAGCAACTTTCACGTCATTTCATTTACTTTCCACCAATCAAAAGGTCTCCCTGCAAGGCAGCTGAGTTGCAAAAGTAAACTTGTAGATGGAAAACCCATCGCTGGCAAATTGGTCAATTTCTCTTTATGTGTGTGCTAAGTCGCTTCAGTTGTGTCCAGCTCTTTACAACCCTATGGACTATAGCCCGCCAGGCTCCTCTGTCCGTGGGGATTCTCCAGGCAAGAATACTGCAGTGGGCTCCCATGTCCTTCTCCAGGGAATCTTCCCGACCCAGGGATCGAACCTGCACCTCTTAGTCTCCTGCATTGGCAGGCGGGTTCTTTACCACTAGTACTACCTGGGAAGCCTGTTATAGTTCATCTTATACTGTGACTGATAATTTCATAATGCTGTTCTGTATATTTACTGATTTTTTGTCTAGTTTTATCAACTAGCCATCTTCTCTCATGGCAGAAAGAGGATGAGGGAACTCTCTGGTGTCCCTTTTATAAAGTCACTAATCTCTTTCGTTAGGGTTCCACCCTCGTGGGCTAATCATTTCCCAAATACCCCACCTCCAAATCTCATTGCTTTGGGAGTTAGAAAATTTAACAGGTGAATTGGTGGAGCATTTACAAACATTCAATGCATAGCACTGTCTGTCCATCTATTTTTGTCCCTATGTTCCCTTTTTCCTGCCTGAGGTAATAATTTCATAAAGGCTTTTAGCTTTCTCTCTTTTTATTTTAATTGGAGGATAATTACTTTGCAGCATTGTGATGATTTTTGCCATGCATAAATATGAATTGGCCATAGGTATACATGTGTCTCCTCCATTCTGAAATCTCCTCCCACCTCCCTCCCCACCCTATCTCTCCAGGCTGTCACCTTTCTCTTGAATCAGCATTAAGCTGAGTGGACTTAACACTGATGCTGATTCTTGCATTCACACACCGAGACATTTCTCTTTCTCTAGCTCCTCCATCATTTTTCCACACTTCTGCCATATTATTGTTCATATCATCAGCACAGCCGACTTCACATGTTCCATGATTTTGTCATCATGCTTTAGAATCATGCCAGTGGTTGAATGAGTCATGTTATAAGAACAAGTGACGTCTACCATCTTTCACCTTGCTCCCTCTCTCAATTATTTTCACTTTTGTTTCCATCGTTATTGCTTGGCACTTCTTCTCAGTACCGGCTACATCATCACTGCTTTTATGATTGAGTCTGGGCATCCTGGGCTTGAAATACAGATACTGTACTCCATACAGTACTGTACAGTAAAGTGCACTAAAGTACATCCACTTGTAGAGGGTGCTCACACGTGACCATGTACACCAGACACGTGAGCTAACTTACATGATTGGACATGTGAGTATACATTCACATCTTTGAAAGTTCCCCACTTGAACTTATGTAGGGGACTTACTGGATATCTTTAATTTTTCACTGCCTGATGTGGTTAACATTGTACCACTTCACATAAATGTACAAACATTTCCACAATATAATTTACAATATTATGATGTTTTCTGCCATGCATAAATATGAATCAGCCATAGGTGTTCCCACCATCCTGAGCCCTCATTTCAACTCTACCCCATTTTTTATGCAGTAGTTTCCACATATATTATATCTACATGGATTATAAACCTTACAATATACTTGCTCTTACAACTTTTAATAGTCATACGTATAATTAAGAAATTAAGAGCAAACAAGTATTTTTTAAATGTTTAAATGTCTGTTGTTGCTGTTCAGTCGCTAAGTCATTTCCAACTCTTGGTGACCCCATGACCTGCAGCATGCCAGGCTCCTCTGTCCTCCACTATCTGCTGGAGTTTGCTCAAATTCATGTTCATGTTTAAATGTTTACACCCATATTTACCATTTCTGGTGTTCCTCATCTCTACCCAAAGATCAAGATTTCCCTCTACTATCATATTTCTTCATGTGGAAAGATATTCTTTAGCATTCTTTTAGTACAGATCTATTGGTGAGTTTTCTTAGCTTTCATCTGTCTCAAAAGGTACTTATTTCACCTTCATTCTTTTTTTACACTTTATTTTTAAAAATTTTTATTGAAGTATAGCTGATTTACAATGTTGTGCCAAGTCTCTGCTGTCCAGCAACATGACTTAGTTATACACATATATACATTCTTTTTATATTCTTTTCCATTATGATCTATCACAGGGTATTGAGTATAGTTCTCTGTACTCCACAGTAGGACCTTGTTTTTTTAATTAATTTATGTATTTTAATTGGAGGCTAATTACTTTACAATATTGTGGTGGTTTTAGCCACGGGTGTACATGTGTTCCCCATCCCAAACCCCCCTCCCACCTCCCTCCCCATCCCATCCTTCTGGGGTGTCCCAGTGCACCAGCTTTGAGTGCCCTGTTTTATGCATCAAATATGGACTGTTCATCTATTTCACATATGGTGTGTGCTCAGTTGCTAAGTCGTGTCCAGCTCTGCGACCCCATGGACTGTCACCCACCAGGCTCAGACTTTGTCCATGGGATTTCCTAGGCAAGAAAACTGGAGTGGGTTGCCATTTCCTTTATCACATATGGCAATATCACATATGGTAATATCACATAAATGCTATATTATGTTATAATATTACATAAATTATCACATATGGTAATATACATGTTTCAATGCTCTCAAATCATCCCACCCCTGTTTTCTCCCACAGAGTCCAAGAATAGAGTCTGTTCTGTATATCTGTGTCTCTTTTGCTGTCTCGCGTATAGGGTCATCGTTACTGTCTTTCTAAATTCCATCAGTTCAGTTCAGTCACTCAGTCATGTCTGACTCTGTGACCTCATGGACTGCATAAATTCCATATATACTGTATTAGTGTTTTTCTTTCTGACTTACTTCATTCACTCTGTATAATAGGCTCCAGTTTCATCCACCTCATTAGAACTGATTCAAATGCATTCTTTTTAATATCTGAGTAACATTCCATTGTGTATATGTACCACAGCTTTCTTATCCATTCGTCTCCTGATGGACATCTAGGTTGCTTCCATGCCCCAGCTATTGTAAACAGTGCCGTGATGAACATTGGGGTACACGTGTCCCTTTCAATTCTGGTTTCCTTGGTGTGTATGCCCAGCAGTGGGATTGCTGAGTTGTATGGCAGTTCTATTTCCAGTTTGTTTTTTTGTTTTTGTAAATTAATTTATTTTAATTGGAGGCTAATTACTTTACAATATTGTGGTGGATTTTGCCATACATTCACATGAATCAGCCATGGGTGTACATGCGTCCCCCATTCTGAACTCCCCCTCCCACCTCCCTCCCCATCCCACCTCTCACGTCGTCCCAGTGCACCAGCCCTGAGCGCCCTGTCTCATGCATTGAGCCTGGACTGGCAGTCTATTTCACATATGGTAATATACGTGTTTCAATGCTATTCTCTCAAATCATCCCACCCTTTGCTTCTCCCAGAGTCCAAAAGTCTGTTCTTTACATCTGTCTGTTTTGCTGTCTCGCATATAGTGATCGTTACTGTCTTTCTAAATAACATATATATGCGTTAATATACTGTGTTGGTGTTTTTCTTTCTGACTTACTTCACTCTGTATAATAGGCTCCAGTTTCATCCACCTCATTAGAACTGATTCCAATGCACTCTTTTTAATAGCTGAGTATCATTCTGTTGTGTATATATACCACAGCTTTCTTATCCATTCGTCTGCCGATGGACATCTAGTTTGCTTCCATGTCCTAGCTAGTGTAAACAGTGCTGCAATGAACACTGGGATACATGTGTCTCTTTCACTTCTGGTTTCCTTGGTGTGTGTACCCAGCAGTGGGATTGCTGGGTCGTATGGCAGTTCTATTTCCAGTTTTTTAGGGAATCTCCACACTGTTCTCCATAGTGGCTGTACTAGTTTGCATTCGCACCAACAGTGTTTTTCTCCTTGTTGTTTATGCATTCTAAATGTAATGGCTTGCCATCAGGTTTGGGCTCTGTCTGTCACTCCCTTAGTGTCTGGAGTTGGGAGGACACCACTCAAGGCTCTACACACCCCCCAGGCCACCTCTCACCACTGGCTTGGGCCCTCCCTCCTTCCTGAGGCTTGGCTCGCCCTGGACCATTTTACCAGGCCCCTTCCCCACTGGGATCCCTGGGACTCACTGCAGAGTGGCTGAATCAGGGTTTGCTGCCTTCAGGGCACTGTCTCTGCCTGCACCTGCCCCACCCTCACTCTTGCCACAATAAGGAGAGGTGGATGGAGGAGAGACTGAGCAGGATGGGCCTGGGTGGATTGCTGCTGGAGCTGCCAGGTGCATCCACAAATTTCTGTTACATGACTTTTTCTAGGCTGGGCATGTGTTTGAAATTCTTCATTAAAAAAAAAAAACTGGGAAACTCTTCTGGGGATGGCATCTAGAGGCATTCATGATGGTGCAGCATCTTGCATACCGTTGTAGGCTGTCCTACAATGCAGCCTCTAACAAAACCAGGCTGTCCCGAATCCCTGGTAATAGAATTGTTTATCTTTATGCCAAGAAGGTTGGGAAAGCACCAAAATCCGCGTGTGGTGTGTGCCCAGGCAGACTTAGGGGCGTTCTTGCTGTGAGACCTAAAGTTCTCATGAGGTTGTCTAAAACGAAGAAACATGTCAGCCGAGCCTATGGTGGGTCCATGTGTGACAGAATCAAGCGTGCTTTCCTTATTGAGGAGTAGAAGATTGTTGTGAAAGTGTTGAAAGCACAAGAACAGAGTCAGAAAGCTAAATAGGATATTAAGGAAGTCTCTTCTATTGTTGGATTGCTCCCCACTCTGACAAGTTTTTTTTTAAAAATTAATGGTTATTAAATTCTATCAAAATACACTTTTTTTGCATTTGGCAAAATAATGATCACATGGTTTTTCTTTTATTAATATGGCTGATTTTATTGATTGATTTCCTACTTTTTCTAAACTTAAATGATCTCAAATGGTTTATGGATTCAATTTGCTAATATTTTATTTAGAATTTTTGCTTTTGTGTTTATAAGAGATTGGCTCATAATTTTCCTTCCTTGTAGTATCCTCTTTGTGGGTCTGAGTTTTCTTTGCAGAAAGATTTTTTTATTACAAAGACAATTACTGTAATATAAGATTTTCTATTTAAAAAAAGAAACCTAAATGAAAAATGAAGCATTTTTGAGTAAGAAAAAAATCAAAAAGCCTCAAAAAAACAAAAACTGGAAAACTTCTAGAGGGAAATGAATCTCCTGATACATGCTGAGGACACTCAGCCATTCCACAGTGTGGCGGATACGGGGTGCACTTCTAAGAGGCTCCCACCCTACCTCAGGCTTTCACTCCCTCCTTCTGTGAAGGTTGGATGCCAAGGCTCTCTAGGAATTGCCCGAAACCACAAAAGCTGCCTTCCCCAAGGTTGCCCTTAGCCCATATCCCATTACTAGCTGCTGATGTGGGATACAAAGGTCCAGCCCCTTGTGTCAACTGGCTCAATCCATTCCCTAGTGGATGAGTTTCCTACAGATGTGGCAATAAATAACCACAAATCAGGTGGCTTAAAACAAGAGGAATTTATTCTCATGGCTCTTGAGGCCAGAAGCCCCAAATCAAGGTGCCAGCAGGGCTGTGCTCCCTCCAAAGGCTCCAGGAGTAGACACTTCCTTGCCTCTTTCATTTTGTGGGGCTTCAGGCATCCCTTGGCTTGTGGTCGCATCCCTCCAGTGTCTGCATTTGTGTTCATGTGGCTTCTCTTCTATATGTGTCTCTCTCTCCTCTTCTGTCTCTTATAAGGACACTTGTCATTGGATTTAGGACTCACCTGAATCATCCAGAATGCTCTCATGTTGAGATTCTTAATTTCATCACATCTGCAAAGACCCATTTCCCAGAAAACTCATATTCACAGGTTCTGGAAGTTAGGGCATGCACATATCTTTTAAGGGGCTACCATTCACCCCATTATACCTCTAAAGCCCAGGTCTAGGCTTATCTAGCCAGACTCCTGGTGAGAAGACAAGAGTGGGCATCAGAACCTGCAACCAGGGGCCACAGGGGACCTCCCTGCCTCTGATCCAGGGACAGGGCCCTGAAGCTATGCTGCATTTGGCCGCCTGAGAACCCTGCTCCCCGAGGCCAGAAGCACCTGAGTAAGGGGGTCCTCCTAAGCCAGAGTCAGGCAGCTGCTGTCCTGGGAGCCTCAGCATGGGGAGGGCTTCTTGCTGCAGTCCTGTGCTTTGCTTGTGGAAGGAAGGGTCTCCACCTCATGCTTAATTCCCAACAACCAGGGCTGGGAGGGACAGAACACGCAGTCCTGGTGTTTTTTGTTGTGGATTTTCTTCCACAGCCTTTTTCCTATTCTTAACTTTGGGAGGAACTCATCATGACCAAGGGCAGGTATGTGCATTCAGCCCTGGATTCCAATCCCAATCCTGTGGGGAAATGCAGTTTCCAAGGCCCTGGGGGGACCCAGGGAAAGACCAAAGCACACAGTAGCTCTTCACTACTCCTCTGTCTGTCTGCCCACTGATCTCCCCAAATCCCCTCTCACTGCCCCCCACTTTCTTAGCTTCACCCTTCTGTCTCAAATGGGCTGGTCCCTTACTGGGGTGCCGTGGCTGAGCCACTTGGTGCTGACTGCTCCCCCCCCCCCTCCCGCCAGGGATTCTGTGAGCCCCAGATGGATGGACGGACGGGCAAAAAGGAAAGCCCCGCAGTCTTGACACCTGGGAGGTGCGTGACTAACACTGCCCCTCCCTTGCCCCTGGCGGATGGATGGTCTAGGACTGGCTGCGACCCCCCAGGGTCTCCAAGCAGCCCAAACGGAAAGCGGAAGTGCCCCGGGGGACGCAGGGAGCTAAGCCAGACACCCCTCGGGGCGCGCCAAGGGCGGATGCGGGGCCGGGCCGCCCTCCTGCTGTGCCGCGCATGCTCCGTGCCCCCCCCCACCACGCCCCATCCCACGCCGCCGCCGCCCCGGCCCTGCTAGTGGTCTGGCCCCGGCTCGTTGGCGCTGAACAGAGGGACGGCCGTGCAGGACGCGCCTCCCACACGGTAACCAAGGGTAAAGTCAAGCCGCCACCGGGAGCCCCATCGCCCCCTGGGTGTCCCTGGAGGGCTTCTCAGAGGTGGTGGCCTTGGCCTCGGGCTTTCTCCGAGGCAGGGACGGGGGCGCGGGGGGTAAGGAGGGAAGACGAAAGAATGGCTCAGAAGCCCACGAGCCAGGTCTCGGCAGGTGGTTAGGGACGCCCTGGGAGGTTGGCGAGCGCGGAGAGCTGCCGACCAGCCCTCGGGGCTTCCCTCCCCCTTCCTCGGGCCAGGGAAAGGCAGCGGGTGTTTCTCGGTTTCTCTCCTCCGACTGCGGTTTACCGCTGACTCTAGGGCTGCCCGGAGAGCGTCGCGACGCGGGTAAGTTTGGATTTTGCGCCTCTGCGTCAGGTCACGCGGCACTCCCGCCCAGGGACACCCAGCCAACCGTCCGCGAGCGTGAGTTCCCCGAGGGTCCCCGGACGGGCCCTCTGCGGCTCTCGGGAGGTGGGGCGTTGTGTCCCTGGGTGGTGAGGGATGTTAGCGGGGTCGAGCACGCCCGGAGAAGGTGCGAGAAGAGGAAGCCAGGGGCCGAGCGGCAAAGCGTGCCAGGCTCCGGACAGAGGTAGCGGTGCCAGCCCTCCGGCCCCCACACAGCGGCCAAGCACTCCCGGGGGCCAGGCTGCAGCGGGCACTGCAGATCCAGCCTTGGGGAACAAGACCCACAAAGCCCTGCTGGGGGCGGGGTGGGGGTGTCCGATTCTAGTGGCAAGAAATGGGCAAGAAACAGTCAACGTTTGGAATTAAGAATCACAGTCAATGTATGGCCAAAACCACTACAATATTGCAAAGTAATTAGCCTCCAATTAAAATTAATTAATTTAAAAAATAAGCAAGCAAACAAGAATCACAGAGTATGTTAACCAGTGCTAAGTACTGCGGGGCAGAAATAGAGAAGAGAAGCTGCGTGCAGGTTTAAGCAGTGTGGTTAGAAAGCAACCTTTCAGAAAAACTTAACAGAGGTGAAAGATTGTTGGGGCCAGAGGCAACAGCCGGTGTAAAGGCAGGAGCCACTCTGGGCCAGTGTGGAGCAGAAGAGGGCAAGCTCAGGAAGCTCTTCCACATGAGTGAGAGGCACCCCATGAAGAGCTGGGAGCAGGTGGCATCTCTCTGTTCCCCAGCCCCCAGCCCCCGCAGAACAGAGCCTGGAGACCCAGGTTGCGAGGTTGCTCCCAGAGGCCTTTGCTGGCCCCAGGCAGCTCTCAGACCGGGCCTCAGGCCTTTCCCCTGGGTGGCTGGCAGGTGACACGGGTCTCCAGGAAGGCTGCCTGGCGCTGAGCGGAGACACTTGGGGTCTTGAATTACCAAAACCCAGAGGAAGTTCCAGCAGGGCAGAAGGCGGCCAACCCCAGTGGCCCCGCTCGTCCCTCTTGGTGGACGACAAAGCCCCACTTCCCTGACCCGCCCTCAGTGGGACTGCTGCATGCCTTCCCTGTTTTCTGTTTTCTTTTTCTGGGGAAATAGCCCCATCTCGTGGTCTTCAGAAGACATCAGCACTGAAGCCCTCTGCTTCTCCCTCTGGGGCCCATGTTTCCACCTCTCCTCTCTCCATCTTGCCACCTCCAGCTAGGCTCAGCCAGTGACGGGGAGTCTGCCGCCCCTCTGTGGGGTAGACCAGCCTGGAAGGGGCTACCAGGTTCCCCAGACTCCTGGGACCTTCCCAGCTCCTTGCCCCAAGTGCTGCTATCTGAGGGGCCCTCACCTGCATACCTAGTGCCCTATCTCAGGGAAACCCGAGCCCTGGGGCCTAGAATCATCCTTCAGCTTCTCCCCTTCTCTGGAGACCCACCAAGGCCAAAGTGTCTTGGGAGAAGCCGCCCTCCAGTTCTGCAAGCTCCTTCCATATCTTTTCTTCCATTCCTGCTCTCTGAGAAGGTCACACTGTTCCTGACGGGGGCTTTTAGGGCATTAGGGTCTGTGAAAAGGACTTTCTAGTAGCTCAAATGATAAAGAATATGCCTGCGATGCAGGAGACCCTGGTTCAATCCCTCGGTCGGGAAGATCCTCTGGAGAAGGGAATGGCAATCCACTCCAGTGTTCTTGCCTGGAGAATTCCATGGACAGAGAAGCCTGGCGGGCTATAGTTCATGGGGTCTCAGAGTTGGACATGACTGAACGACTAACACACACACACAGGGTCTGTGAGTACAGGGCTTGTCATGTTTCTTTCCAGGATTTGAAACTATGCTGCCAGTGGGGTGCTAGGTCCCAAGGATAGACGCTGCTGTGTGTAACCAGCTTGCTGGCTGGCACCTCTGATGTGCTTTGTGGTACTAAACTTGAGCGTCGGTCTCCGTCCAGCAGTGAACTCTGTCCGTGACATGTTTCTCTTGGGCGGTCACAGTTCAAGTATCTTCTCTCTTGAGAGCTTTCAGCACAACTTGGGATACGGGTTTAGAGAAAACACCTCTTCCTTTCAGTTTTTCTGTGTTTTTCAAAATGGATGGTGACCTGGCAGTACAGTCTTGATAGAGAAAAAAAATAAGCTTGTGATGTGTTTGAAAACAATTTGACAGTAGTCTGAAAACCCTTGCTAATATCAGTATTACACACACACACACACACACACACACACACACACACACCTTCAGCTTGTGGAGACCTCTCAGTGAATGATGGTGGTTTCCCAGTGAACATGGGTAAAAGAGGGTTAAAGAGGATCCCTTGACAGTGACATTAAGTCACTGGCAACACTGTGCAACTGTCTCCAGTAGCGACTTCCAAATACTTTGATCACCCCAAAAAGAAACTCCATCCTCATGAAGCAGTCACCCCACCCTACCCAATCCCAGCCCCTGGCTCTCTGACCATATGGATCTACCTATGACTCTATAGATATGTCATATGTTTTATAAGATTTAAAGATTTTTTTATAGTGAGCTACAGAACAGTGACACTCTGGAGAGATGACAGGCAGAAGAAGGGGTGAGTGCCATGGGAAGCGAACCTGATAGGGGTAGCTAGTGTCCACAGGGTCCCTAGGCAGTGGCTAGTTTGAATGGTTTCTCAGGCTCCAGGACACAGGGGCTGTACTAGCTGTCTGGTACCTGGCCCCAGAGTGTGAGACCTCAATAAGTGGGACTTGAGCCATGGGTTTAGTGGACCAGGAGAGAGGGGCCCTGATATGGGAGGTCGGTAGGGTGGGAGCTTAGCAAACTGCCTGAGAAGGCGAAGGGAAAGGAGTTTTTCTTTTTTTTTCCCCACAATATTTATTTTAAATATTTTTAAATTTAATTTATTTATTTTAATTGGAGGAAAAGTTTTTAGTCATAATCTCAAAACTCGATTGAGAAAGCTCTTATGAAATCTTATCTTGCATCATATAAGTAGAATCATGCAGTAGTAGTTGTTGTTCAGTTGCTCAGTCGTGTCCAACTCTCTGTGACCCCATCGACTGCAGCACACCAGGCTTCCCTGCCTTTTACCATCTCCTGGAGCATGCTCAAACTCATGTCCACTGAGTCGGTGATGCCATCCAACCATCTGTCTCCCCCTTCTCCTCTTGCCTTCAATCTTTCCCAGCATCAGGGTCTTTCCCAGTGAGTCAGCTCTTTGCATCAGGTGGCCAAAATATTGGAGATTCAGCTTCAGCATCAGTCCTTCCAGTTAATATTCAGGGTTGATCATGCAGTATGTGGCCTTTTGTGTCTGTGTCTGTTTTTTTTTTTTTCACTTAGCATCATGACACCAGGTTCACCCACATGGTAGCGTAGATTAGTATTTCATTCCCCTTTGCGGCCAAATAATGTTCCATCTGTGTCTAGACCATGGTTGGTTTTCCACTCTTCTATTGATAGACACTTGGGTTGTTTCCACCTTTTGGAGATTATGAATTGTTCTGTACTTAATTCACATGGGAGGACAAGTTTTTGGTGTTTTTTTTTCTTTTAGTGGACAAGTTTCTTTCTTTTCTTTTTTTTTTTTTTGGTGGACAAGTTTTTGTGAAAACATGTTTTCAATTCTTTTGAGCATATACTCAGGAATGGAACTACTGGGCCTGATGATAACTATGTTTACTTACTAAGGAACTACCAGACTGTTTTCCCTTTTAACTTTGAACACTGTCAAGCAAATGGACAAGTAGAATAGTCCAACCAAGCCCAGTACCCACCTCCCAGGGTTAGCAGTGGCCTCCAGCTTGCCTTATGTGCCTGTTTCCCTCCCTCCCTCTCTCTTCCTCCCTCCCCCTCTTTCCTTCTCTTTCTTTTGTTTCCATTAAAATGCTTGAGAGTCATTTCACAAGCCTTGTTCTCCCCAAATGGTTCACTGTGCATCTCTTGAGAAAGACATTTTCTTCCCTGACCCGGGGGCCACAATTCACTCACCATGTGGGCAGCAGGCGCCCCACCCTCACCTCCACTCCCCCTTTGATTCCTCTTTTGTTCATGCTAGCATGTCATCAGGGACTCCCACTGCACTTGGCTGTTGGCCACTTAACTCTCTTTTCATCCAGAGCAATCTCCCTCCCCAGCCTCCTCTTTCCCCTGTGACACTGATTTGCAGAGGAAACCAGGAAACAGCCCACCTTCTGGATCAGCGCTGGCTGCTCCATTGTGGTGCCTTTAACCAGTCCCTCTGTCCCAAGGTCCTCTGTAAACCAGAAGCTGAGTCCCAAGGCGGCATAGAATCAGGTCAAGCTTTGGCAGGAGCTCTACTGAGCACTTCCACCGAGGGAGTGGACATCCCACCTCTGGGGGACATCCCAGCTCTGTCCCACCATTAGGTTCACTTCGTCTCTTGTGACCAGCAGTAAATAGGGAAGACATTTTGACATCATGTGGCCAGCAGCCCTCAGCATTTCACCTCATGGTTTTGTTGCAGGAAGGGGGACCCCTTCCAGAGCCCGAGAATGGTCTCTTGTCTGACACTCGGAAATGAATTGTCCAAGGAGACACACGTCCTGAGACTTTACAAAAGACTTCACTGAGAAGGGGCACCCAGGCAGAGAGTAGTAGAGTAAGGGAACCCAGGAGAACTGCTCAGCCACGTTGCCTGCAGTCTCAGGTTTTATGGGTGGGATTAGCTTCCAGGTTGTCTTTGGCCAGTCATTTTGACTCAGGGCCCTTCCTGGTGGCACATGCATTGCTTAGCCAAAACGGATTCCTGCAAAGAGCATCCTGGGACATGTGACATCTCCTTTTGGCCTTTCCCGAATTCTTGTGGTTGGTGGTGGCTTGTTGGTTCTGTGTTCCTTACCAAGACCACCTGTTGTAAAATAACTCACGCAAATGGTTATTGTGGTGCCTAAGACTTTTTTCCTATTTTTCCAATTTCTGCCATTTTTTTCCTTGAATTTAGCTCTAGTTCTAACTCTTCTTACTGCTCCTTTGAAGGTACTGTATCTCCTCCTTACTCTTTCTCCCCCATACTGGTTGTAAAGTTTTCTCTTTTTCTTTGGTTTTCATCAGTGGAACTATGTTGTGCCTTTTTTTTTTTTTTTAATGAAAAGGAAACTTTTATTTACCCAACGACAGGCCAGGCCCGCCCCGCCCACTTTTGAGTGAAAAACTTATTGCTGTGTGTGTGTTGGGGAGGAGCCGCTGTGTTCAGAAAGACCCCCGCCGTTCATTCCTCCCCAATCACCCCGCCCCCTGCCCCGTGTCCGTGCGTTCCCGGAGCGCAGGAGGGGCGCGACATGCGTGTGGGGAGCGCGTCATGCAGCGCATGCGTGTAGTTGCAGGCACCCTGGCGGCTGGGGGGGAAAAGGGGCGCGGGACTTGGAAGTTGTCCCTTTAGCTCTCTCTCTCCCTCCCCGACTCCCACACTGTTGACTTGGGGGACGGGGAGACGAGAATAACGTTTGTAGAGGTTTGTAATGATTGTGGTTATTTTCAAAAGCTGAACTAAAAAGCTGGGTACGTGTGGCAGATTGGCGAGCCGGGGGGGTGGGGGTAGACGTTGGAAAGAAGTCCGTACCCTTAAGAAAAATCCTCACCCCCTTTCCCCGCACCTTTCGGCTTCCGTGAGGGTCAGGGGTATCTGGGGTTTTAAGAAGTTAAACCCTTTGGCAATGTAATCAGTCTCCAAGCCACACCCTGGTGTCTGAAGCCCCTAGCCCTTTACCCCGCCCCACCCCGCTCCCACCAGAACCCGCCCCGCCCCTCGCCCCTGGTTCGCCAGGGTTCAGGGTCCGAGGGAAGAATGGGGGGACTCAAAATGCCCCTTGCATAGGAATCGTTGCATCAAGAATCGTGCTCAGTGACATCCCCCCAACCCTCGGGTGGGGGGTGTTCCTGAGGCCGGTGGGAGCAGAGGGAGGGAGGTTGCTAATTCCGTGGGCCCCCCAACTCCAAAAAGGGGAGTCCCCTAGGGACTCTGGGACCGGTGTGGTTTCTGGGCTTGGGGGAGGTAGCGCATCCTTGAGCCAGGATGGGATGTGAGAAATGATTTTCCACCCGCGAGCATCGGGGTTTGAGGAACGCGGGGGAGGGGCTAGCTGGAATCCCAGCCCTGGTGGATATGTCATTGTTTCCCAAGCTTCTGATTTTCCAGCGTTCCTCCACTCAGGAACAGCCTCTACATTTTAAATGTAAACACCTCTAGCCTAAATAAACGGTGTCCTGGCCAAGCAGCAGTATCTGGACTTACAGGCTTATATGCGAAATACCAGGAAAGACAAAACTTTTAAAAGTGTTTGTCCTTGTACTGCTTAAAACCTTAGCACGTCGCCAGGGGTGCAAATATGACCCTCTGGGAAACACTGGCGTCTATGAAGGTGCCTTTAGGACACCATTTAAAGAAAGGGGCTCTTAGAGGGGACAGGGTTAGCCATAAGAAGGGGGTGCCCCGGAAAGATCTGGTTCCCTGGAATTGCAGGCAGGTTGAGCCTATCTTGAAAATTCTAGCGTCAGGGGAACCTGAGCTGGATGTCTGATGTCAGGTTTAGGGGTGTCCAGGAAGTGTTCAGAGTGTGGCAAAAATTGTAGCATCCCGAAGGCTGAACGTGAGTTCAAGGGCTGGGTCAAGTCTTGGAGGTTAAGGTGCTGGGATGCAGCCCAGGGGTTAAGGACTGGGATTTTTGGCTTGGGTGACTGTTCCTCCTTCCCCCACATTGCTGCTAATTTTTAAGAAAAAAAATCAGTGCGTGATGGGTTGCCCTCCTGGGGTGAAGGGTAGGAGGCTAGGAGACCCTCCTGTGGTGTGCCTTTGTATAATTTTTCTTTTTTTAATTTCTCTTGCTTGATATTCTTAAAGCTTCTTAAATCTGTTGTTTAATACCTTCCTCTTAAATTTAGAAAGTCTTGTAAACGTTTGTTCAGGTCTGTTCTCTTCTTAGATTTTCAGTTATAGTGTTTTGTATGTTTCTTATTGGTCTTTTCTGTATTTTCCACTTTTTTTGTTTTTTAATGTCTGGGCTTTTATTTATGGTATTTTGTATCGACATGTCATCCAATTCAAAATTCTGACTTTTGTGTTAATCTCCTGTTGGTGCTGGTTTAGTTGCTAAGTCGTGTCTGACTCTTTGTGAGTCCATGGTCTGTAGCCCGCCAGGCTCCTCTGTCCATGGGATTCTCCAGGCAAGAATACTGGAGTAGGTTGCCATTCCCTTCTCCAGGGAATCGTCCCAACCCAGGGATCGAACCCTGGTCTCCTGCATTGCAGGCAGATTCTTTACCAACTGTGCTATGAAGGAAGCCCTATCTCCTGTTAAAACCATTTATTGAGCTCACTTTAGACGTTTCAGTTAGAGTATCCTTTTGATTCTTTTCTGATACAGATATTAATTGTCTAGGGAAATATGCCATCTTTTCATGTATTTCTTCCATCTTTGCCACTGTTTTCTTTAACATATTAATTATATTCTAATGTCTTAGTTTGTTAAATATGTAGATTGCTTATTTTGTTCTGTTTTGTGTTGTTTTTCTTCTTTTTGAGGTTTGTTCTTATGGTCCTGTTTCTTGGTAACATAGTTATTTTTAGTTAAATGCTAGAAATGTAAATAATCCTGCAGTATTTACAATTAAATGTTAATTTAATTCATATTTTAGAATCTTTAAAATTATAGATACTCCTGAAGATTATATCTTCCCCTGGAAAAGTTTCACCCTTTCTTCGCTAGGTTGATAAAGTGGGAGTTGGACCCCTTAATTCAGGGAGGTACTGAATGGAGTGCAGGTTGGGTTTTGTTTTAGTAAGGTATCAGCTGCCTTTGATTATTTCTTGGCTTTCATCTGAAAACCTAGTTTGTTCACCAGACTTCTTCCCTTAAAGTTTCCTTAACTCTTAAGTTTTGTATCAGTTCCCTGAGCTCTGCTTTTCAGACTTTGTTTAGTTTTTTGGCCTTTGTAGCTTCAGAAGTTCATACACACCATGAGCGGAAAAGACAACCATATGCTTAAGAACTCTCATGTCTCTGATTTTGTTACTATAGCCTTCTCAGACTGCTTTAAACTTCTGCTCAGGACAAAGTGTAATTCTCAGCCTGTTCCCTGTGCCTTGAGTTGTCCAAGAAAAGAGCATTAAATTAACTCTCCATGGTTATCTCCTGAACTTTAGTCCCTCTTGTTCTCACTGCTTGGGCAACTCTTAGGTGCCTTCTAAGACATGATTTTGTATTCATCTGGCTTTGCCAGTTTGGGGAGAAATTATTGGTTTGTTATAAGCTTTTTGTCCCAACTTGGAGGTTAGTTACATAGCTACTTGCAAGTGATTTAGTATTAATTTTGCTCTAGTCATGGTAGTTGATAGTGTTTCTTTAAAATAAAAATGTACTCCTTTAATTGGTGTAAGGACATTTCAAGTTGACTTTTTTGTCACTTGTCAAGATATTTTTCCCCCATCATTCTACTATTTGCTCGGACAGTAAAGAATCTGCCAGCAATGCGGGAGACCTGGGTTTGATCCCTGGGTCAGGAAGATCCCCTGGAGAAGGGAATGGCAACCCACTCTAGCATTATTGCCTAAAGGATTCTATGGACAGAGGAGCCTGGTAGGCTACAGTCCATGGGGTTGCAACTAGAGAAAAGCCCATGCAGCAGCAAAGACCCAGAGGAGCCAAAAATAAATAAATGAAATTGTATAAATATACATATATATGTATATATAAAGAACTCTGACCTCAGGGGCAAAGGAGTGGCAATGGGGCTTCCAGGGGTAGCTTGAAAGTCAGAATTGAGGGGCTAGTCATATAGTAGGAGGGCTGAGAGAGGAAGGAGGTGAGAAAAGGAATGAAGAAAGACACTCCCTTAACAGTCTTGCAGCCTGGCTAGGCGGGCCCAGCATGAGGAGAGATGGAATCCTTGTCTCCTGAGGAGAGGGGACAGAAGCTCAGCTTTGGAAAGTGTTATGGGTTGAATTTTGTTAGCAGCTTTGATTGGGGCCTTATCTGGACAAGGTCACACAGTGCATAGGCTCAGCTCACACCGGTCTCTCTCCACCCCCCTAGCATCCCTGTGTCCCCAAGATGGCGGCCATGCTCCCGACAGCCAGACCCAAGGTGAGTGGAGATCCTTGACTGTGGGCAGCCCCTCAGCCCGGCATTCCCCCCATCAGCCTCCGTCCGTTGCATTTTCCTGTCCCGTTGTCACAGCTCTTGACGAGCTCTCTGGGAACCACCACGACCCATGTTTTTTATTGCTGCCAGCTTATCCTGGGGCCCATGGGGGTGAACTCCCCTGAAACCACAGTGATGGCTTGTTTTAGGTGCCAGTATCTTTTGAGGATCTTGCCGTGTACTTCACCAAGGCAGAATGGAATCTTCTGGATCATAGACAAAAGAAGCTGTACAAGCAAGTGATGCTAGAGAATTATGACAATTTGGAGTCAGTGGGTAAGGATCCTGCACACAGTCAGGCCCCCAACCTGTCTCAGAACTCAGTTTATTTCTGAGTTCCTTTCCTTGTAGTTTACTGTGATTCCAAGAATAAATGCATTTCCCCATCAGGTCAGTAATCCAGTGATGCCCAGCTTTTACCTCAAAGGCAGTTTTATCTAAATGGTTTTAGGCCTATAGGTATTTTTATATAAAATCAGAGGTTAACTAAACCTCATCTACCCAAAAGATAAGTGCAAATTATCCTTGAATATTTATATGCATTAATTTATACTTATTTTTACCAAAGTTGCCTTTTGTGTACATTTCATGTTATAAAGTTTAGAAGCATCTGTTCCTTGCATCAAGCCATATAGAGCCCAGGGCATAGAGACCCAGGACTTGGTTTTCCAGTCTGGAAAAATCTGGAAAGAGCTGGCACAGGATCCTCCACTGCGCCCCCCTTGGTTGTTTCTGCCCCTCACCAGCAGTGAGGTTTGTTGTAAGGAACAGAGACATCTCCTCTCTTACATGGTGAAACAGGCAGCCTTTTAGCTCTGTTCAGTTCTTGATACTCCCTGCAGCTTTGCTCCAGCCCTCTGTCTGCCCTTCAGTGTCTCTACACTAACTCCCCATTTCCCACAAGCTGTCCATCTTGCAGGCCAAATGATAACATGGTTATCCTCTTGACCCGAATCACCACCTACTTAAGACTCTTCATACATGCCAAGCCTGTTCATACACTCAGAGCTCTTTGCCCCTAGAGGGACTGTGCCTTTTCTCAGGACCTTCCCAGTGATACTTTCTAGAAAGTTCTTCATTCTCTGGTCCTGAAGATACTAATGCCAGACTGAGTCCAGGAGTGATTAACCTGCTTCCTCTCCATGGACAGGATTGTCGTTCTCCAAGCCTCAGCTGGTCATCCAGCTAGAGCAAGGAGAGGAACCATGGGTAGCAGATGTCAACAGGATCACCACAGGGATGCAGGCAGGTGAGTGAGGGGAGCTCTACTGGCTTGCCTGAGCCATTGGCAAAGAGCAGCAGTTGATGGAGGGTGGCATGGTCACTTTGGGTTGGACATTCTCTTTCGTGGAAGTTTTAAATCTGCCATGGAATCCTCTGTCTCACAACAGCTCTTCTATTTCTAGCTCACTGCTGTCTCCTCCCCTCTTGCCTTCCTGTCTGCTGATGGTCATCTTCCTTTCTCTCCCACGCCCTCAACTCCTGATTCAGCTCTTCTCAGACTTGGAGTGAGGGTGAGGGTAAGGAACAAACCTAAATTGAGACCCAGGAAGGTAGTGACGCTGGTTGGTGCTCTCTATGTCTTTCCAGGTGACAGGATGAATAGCAAGCTGACAATTTCAAAGGAGAATAATTGTCCAAAAGAACTCCCAGGGGCCAATCTTCAGGTTGGCAACATGGGCCAGGTAGCCGGGCAGTCAGAGGAAACACTTGAGCACAGACAGAAAAGTGCCTGTTGTCCACAGACAGGTTCCAGCAGGGGTGACCCTCCTGGGGAGAAAGACCAAGGCAGCTCCCCAGGTGAGGGAAGAGAGATGCAGGGAAGCAGCTGCGGAGGTAGGCAGGATTTGGTTGTAAGGGAGCCGAGTTTCAAAGACATGGAGAGGCAGTTCGTGTGTCAGCAGTGTGGGAAATCCTTTGCCCGGAAATCCAACCTCGTCAAACACCGAGTCATCCATAATGACGAGAAGCGCTTTAAGTGTGGCGAGTGTGGGAAACTCTTTCGATGCAACTTCTCACTCCTGGAGCACCAGCGCATCCACAGTGGTGAGAAGCCCTATGTATGTGGCGAGTGTGGAAAGGCTTTCACACGTGGCTCCAACCTCATCAAGCACCAGATTATCCACACTGGCGAGAAGCCCTATAGGTGTGATGAGTGTGGGAAACGCTTTGGGCACAACTTCACACTCATAGAGCACCAGCGCATCCACAGTGGCGAGCGGCCCTATTCCTGTGATGTGTGCGGCAAGGCCTTCAGCAGGAGCTGCAACCTCACTGAGCACCAAGGCACGCACAGCAGTGAGAAGCCCTTCATATGCAGCCAGTGCACAAAATCCTTCAAGGGCATGTCCCAGCTCATTCACCACCAGCGTGTCCACAAGGGAGAGAAGCCATTCATGTGGCAAGGAGTGTGGAAAGGCCTTCTGGGGGCGCTCAGGCCTCAGCCAGCACCATGGGGTGCACACCGGTGAGAAGCCCTATGAGTGCAGTGAGTGTGGGAAGACCTTCAGCCGGCGATCCAACCTCTTCAAGCACCAGATAGTGCACACTGAGGAGAGACCCTACAGGTGTCAAGAGTGCGGGAANGAAGGAGATAGAGATCAAGTCGTTTCATACAGTTATATGACCATCACTTGTGCACATTTGTGACTTAGGAAAAGTTCTTTAGTTGTTGTAACTTGCTTTTATTTCAGCCTCCTTTTGCTCTGTGTGTCACGTTGTCTTTGAGCCCAGCATTTAGTAAATATTTGTGAAATGAATCTTGTCCCCTTAGCACATTGACCTCAGGTTTTAGACCACAGTTGGCTCCAACCTTACCTTTTGGCAGTGGAAAGTATTTGCAGCTTTGGGTTTTCCACTAGAAAAAGACGTTTTAAAGGAGTGTTGTCTTTGAACTCTGTGGTGAGGTCACTGGGAAACGTGTTGTTTGTCTGAGGTTCCAGACAGTCTGTCTTAAGGCAGCAAGGCTTCAGGAAGCCCACCCCCACAAAGGGCAGGGGACAGCGGCCTGAGGCCATTTGCTCGGGCTCTGGTACCTTTTTTGTTCAGCTGAGGCAACCCAGGATTGGGGCAACAATTGCTGCATGACAGGCCCAGAAGGAGCATAAATCCATGCACAATGCTATCCATTTCCATCGCTCTAGAAAGTGAATGGCTTTACTCCTATGGGTCAGTAACCAACTTTTAATAAAGAAAAGGTGTATCTCCCCAGTACAGCATCATCCTATTGGTTCCACTGGATAAGCTGACTAGATTTTGAATGTGAGCACCTTTTTATACCTTAGGACCCACCCAGAGATGACTAGATACTGGGGGTACAGGCGGTGATGCCTGATTTTTCAACAAAAAGTGGACTTGCCTGGAGAGATGCAAGCAGAGATGCCAGGCACATGTGCTCTGGTCTCAGTGCCCTGAAAGGCTCCAGGATTTCTTAAGTGCTTACCCAGATATGTGACATGTATAAGTGATGCATCTTTGGTTTGGCATTTCTCTACCTCGTCTCACTCCTTCATTAGATTTTCACTCTTCATTAGCACATGTGGTGGTAATCAATCAGGTGTGCATCAGGAACTAAACTGGTATCACATGGAATCATCCAGAGAATGTCCGGAGAGGATGCTTGCGATTTGCCTTCTACTGTGCCTTGAAATCGGGCTCCCCCTGGCTAGGTGGGGAACTGTGATTGTGGCCCGCACTTGCTTTCTAATGACGACTGGAGTGTAAAAGCTGAGACTGTTGGGGATGTCTTGCCTGCTTTTCACCACCTGCCCCCCAACAAAATTCACACTCCACACTTCTGGACTGGGCTTCGGCTCCAGAGACGACCCTGTCAGACGCTGGATCATGTAGCACATGATTTGAGCTTTGAAACTTGGGACACTTTTCAAGAGCTGTTTAAGTGCTGCATCAGTATCTTCTCATAACTGTTAAACTGTCCCAACTGAATTCTTTGACTTTGGGTGTAAACAAATAAAGAAGGTCTGGGTGTTGATTTGAAGTAACAGCAGTTTGGTGAAAGGTCTCAGGAAAGGGTGCTGATCTAGATTGGGGGAGGGGGAGCCGAGACAGTGTGTCTGGGCATGAAGGGAAGCCAGGACCCCTCCAAGAGGAGCTGCACAGAGACCAAGGGCAGCCACCCAAGGCTAGTGGGACTCCTAGAGCAGGAGAGCAGAGTCACCCCATCAGTGACCTTGTGTCTTAGACCTTTTGCTTACATTGCCTGCAAGGCTTGTTCCCCTTTGCAAAGCTTCCTGGTGCCTGAGAAGGGGGCTCTTGCAGGATTCTGTTACCATTGTTGAATGTCCTTAGTTTCTAATTCTACTGGATGGCTTCCCCCTCACTCTGGGGCTGGTTCTGGCCCATACTGTGGCAACCTAGGGGAAGCAGGATGCCCAGGCTGGAGGCAACTCCCTGTGAACAATTCCAGAGGGGCCAAGACCCCGCTTTTGCCATCCCTGCCACAGTAAGGGGACATGGCAGCTTTCAGCTCAGGATGCTGAGTCTTTGCCTGGTTAGGTAGCAAAGTGCTATGTGGAGGTCAGGGTAGAACTTAGTACCAGGTGAACTCTGAAGACGAGAAGTAGAGATCATGGGGTTTCTGGGCAGATGGAGGGCTTTCTGTAGGGCAGACATGGGGTAAAGGGTCATTAGAACCAGAGCATGAACAACTAGGAGTGTCAGACAAAGAGGTTTGGTTTCTAGCTGGCTCCTGAAGAAGAGCAATTTTTTGTAACAGAATTATGCTAAGATCAAGGAAGAAAAAAGTTGTAGATAATAACTGCTAGAGTTTGTGAATTTACACATTGAAGACCACTAAGTGTACACTGGAGTCATCTAGACAGTTCTGAAGAATTTTCCATGCAGGAAGGGGTCAAAAGGACAGAGTACTGGGGGGGGTGGGGCAAAGGCAAACGGGAGTGCCCCAAATTGCAAAGCACCCCAGGTGGTGGCTTGCTGCCATTTATTCTCTCAGGTCAATTCCCACTTTTACCTGTACTTAGATGGTTTCCTCTTGTGCTAGCCCCAGTGTGTCCATGACATCACAACACAAGGGTCCTCTAGGATTTGAAGGTTGCTGGTTCATCTTTCAAAACCTGAACATATTCAGAGTGTACAATTGGATGAGTTTTGATGTGTATCCACCTGTAAAACCATCACAGCAGTGAAGATGGTGAATGTGTGTCCATCACCCCAAAAAGTTACCTTGTCTGCCCCAGTGCTCACTCCTTCATACCTCTTCTTGCCCTCTCCCTTCCCACAGGGATTGTTCTTCCTGTCACTCCACATTGGTTTGCCTTTTCTAGAATTCTGTGTAATTGAAATGATGCAGCATGCACTCTTCTTGCCTGACCTCTCAGCATAATGACTTTGAAGTTCATCCAGGTTGTTATGTGTTTGTAAGTTCTTCATTTTTTAATCACTAAGTACTAGTCTTATTGTCTGAATGGATCAAAATGATTTTGGTACATTTTTGGGTTTTCCAAACTTTGGCCTTGACAAATAAACCTGCTGTGAAGTTTTGTGTGCAATTTTTTGTGTGGACAGTTGTTTTCCTTTCTCCCGCGTATATAGCTAGGAGTGTAATTGCTGGGTCACATAGTAAGTCTATGTTTAACTGAGGAACTGCCAAAGTGTTTTCCAAAGCAGTTGCACCAGGCTACCTTCCCACCAGCAGTGTATGAGGGGTCCAACTTTGCACATCATCCTAACACTTGTTTTTGTCCATCTTTGTGATTCCAGACATCCTGGTGGGTTGAAGTGGAATCACGTTGTAGTTCTGATTTGTATTTTCCTGATGATTAATGATGTTGAGCACCTTTTTACAACCTCACCAGCCACTCATATATCTTAATTGGGTGATGTGTGCGTTCAAATCTTTTTACTTTTTTTTTTTTACTGCACTGTGGGGCTTACAGAATCTCAGATCCTTGACCAGGGATTGAACCCATGCCTTCCACAGTGAAAGCTCTGAGTCCTAACTGCTGGACCACAAGAGAATTCCCCTTTTTTTTAACTTGGGTTGTCTTGTTATTTAATGTAAGAGTTCTAGATACAAGTCCTTTGTCAGATACGTGTTTTGAAGATATTTTTCCCAGACTGTGGCTTCCCTTTTCATTTTCGTAGCTGTTTCTTGATGAGAAGGAGTGATTTTATCTTGATGAAGTCAAATTTATGAGTTTTTAAATTTTATAACTTGCACTCTTCATGTCACAGTTAAGAAATCTTTTCAAAACTTGAGCCACTAAGATTTGTTCCTCAATTTTTGCAGCACACTGCACCTCCCACTGAACTGTGGTGTTGGAGAAGACTCTTGAGAGTCCCTTGGACTGCATGGAGATCCAACCAGTCCATCCTGAAGGAGATAAGTCCTGGATGTTCATTGGAGGGACTGATGCTGAAGCTGAAACTCCAATACTTTGGCCACCTCACGCGAGTTGACTCATTGGAAAAGACCCTGATGCTTGGAAGGATTGGGGGCAGGAGGAGAAGGTGACAACAGAGGATGAGATGGCTGGATGGCATCACCAACTCGATGGGCATGAGTTTGAGTAAACCCTGGGAGTTTGTGATGGACAGGGAGGCCTGGCCTGCTGCGATTCATGGGCTCACAAAGAGACACGACTGAGCGACTGAACTGAACTGAACTAACTGCACCTCCCTGTCCTTCACCATCTCCCAGAGTTTGCTCAAACTTAGGTCCATCGAGTCAGTGATGCCATCCAACCATTTCGTCCTCTGTCGTCACCTTCTCCTCCTGCCCAGAGTCTTTCCCAGCCTCAGGGTCTTTTCAAGTGAGTCAGCTCTTTGCATCAGGTGGCCAAAGTATTGGAGCTTCAGCATCAGTCCTTCCTATGAATATTCAGTGTTGATTTCCTTTAGGATTGACTGGTTTGATCTCCTTGCTGTCCAAGGGATTCTCAAGAGTCCCCCAACACCACAGTTTAAAAGCATCAATTCTTTGGTACTCAGCCTTCTTTATGGTACAACTCTGACATCCATACATACATGACTACTGGAAAAACCATAGCTTTGATTATATGGACCTTTGTCAGTAAAGTAATGTCTCTGCTTTTTAATACACTGCCTAAGTTTGTCATAGCTTTTCTTCCAAGGAGTAAGGGTTTTTTTAATTTCATGGTTGCAGTCACCCTCTGAAGTGATCTTGGAGCCCAAGAAAATAAAGTCTGTCACTATTTCCGTTTTTTTCCCCATCTATTTACCATGAAGTGTTGGGGCCAGATGTCATGATCTTAGTTTTTTTAATGTTGAGTTTTAAGTCAGCTTTTTCACTCTCTTCTTTCACTTTCCTCAAGAGGCTCTTTCTTTAGTTCCTTTTTGCATTCTGCCATTAGGGTGGTGACATATGCATATCTGAGGTTATTTTTATTTCTCCTGGCAATCTTGATACCAGCTTGTGCTTCATCCAGCCCAGCATTTCACATGATGCACTCTGCATATAAGTTAAATAATCAGGGTGACAATATACAGCCTTGACACACTTTTCTTATAGAAGTTGCATAGTCTTAGCTCTTACATTTACGTCTATGATCCATTTCATTAACTTTGTGTATGGTGT